GCAGGACCAGGCGCAAGACTTGACGTTGGCGAAGGCGACTGCCGGGCAAATATACCATCTATGCATGCATGCGGCTGGCCTTCAGCCAAGTTCCAGATTTTGCACTACACATCGCGGACTCGCTGAGTTTGTGCCCGACTTGCTGTTGGCGCCACTAGCAGCTCTGTCCGAGATGTTCAGAGAAGTTTAGTCAGAACGCCGTGCCTGCTTCAAACATGACCTTGGCTTGGTCAGCCGCACAACATCTGTAACAATCCCAGACATTGCCGAGGCTAAAATTTGGACATGTCCAGTTCTGAATTGCCTGTGCCTGCAGCCAGTGTCTCTCGTTCCTAAAGCATTTAGCCAAGTGGCCTTTTGGGTTGCACCTCCTGAGGGAACTTCTCAAACAGCGACAACATAACAGAACGGAAGGAAGTGCAGATGTGGCTGTGAGGTGTTGGGGCTCGACTGTACCCTTGCGGTGCATCCCGTCTATGCTTCGATTTCCAGACAACGCAGTCAAAGCTCACCTAGCAAACCCAAGAACACTGTTCTGCAAGTAGATCCCTATCAGCCTGAATCCGAACCGAGCCCTGGTCACGCTCTTTCATGTCTTCGACATCAAGATTTCGCAGAACCAGCAAGCCGGCCACAATGTGTTGCCACTCTAAAACTGCGGGCGCATGTGCTGCCCTGGAGCCACTGTGTGGCGGGGCCAAGACCCACTGGGAGGGCCGAGTGAGGCCTGCCACTGTGCTGGCAAGACGCTGTTCGCTGCGAAATGTGGTGTCGGATGATACTGGACTCCCTGTGCCCAGTCCGAAACCAATGGCGTCTGCGGTCTCCAACTTTGGGAGCCGGGGACAGTGGAGGTTGGCGGCGGTGGCCACCCCTGTGCTGGTCGTGGTGCCGCTAGACTGCGTGCTTGAGGGCGTGACTGATTCGGAACGCGCAAGCCGAAGAAAAACGACCAGGCATTGTCCAGGGTGCTCGGCGGCGGTGGCTCGCCACGAGCATCTGCCACGTCTTGTGGCTGGGGCATTCGCGGCTCGCTTTCCGACAACTCGATCTGGGACGGAAGCGGTGTGGGCACTCCTGCTCCCGACGTAGTCTCATCGTTCTTGCTGTTTTGCTCCACGTCCTGCATTTCAACTTCTTCAAATATCCGACTGACTGCGGGAGCGAGAACTGTCGTGCGTCTGCGCATGGATGGCATTTGAGGATTAATATCCTCTTCCTCGACAACATGTACTGGCACCTCGTCATAAAGAATGTAGAAAACACAATCTAATCGAAGCAACCGTTCCTCAGCAGCCTGTAAGTTTTCCCGCCTTTCCACTTCAGTTTTCAAACCTTCTGGGTAGCGCACGGCAGTTCCACTGGTCTCCAGAGCTTTGATTTTTTGAGAGATCTCCATCAAGATCTCATACCGTCGCTGTTTCCCGATCTCTACCATCATCCAGTCGACTCCTGCCAAAGTCGTGAAGAAATACTTGGCCATAGCCACCCCGGCAAGTTTGATCCAAAAGCTCGGTTGAAGCACGGAAACCTGTTCTGCGATGTACTTGTAAGCATCCCGTTCCACACTGGCATTTTCCTCGGATTCCTCTTCACCTATCGTTAGCTTGTAGCGCTTCCATGCAAAGGTACAGATGAACACATACCCGATAATCGCCAGGATCGTTGACGCCCGATTCATGCTGACCTTGGCTCTCCTGCTGCAAAATGCACACTGTGGCGGGGCGATCTGTGCACGATGAGTTTGCCGAGCTGCCATGACCTGTGCAACAGCCTTATCTGTGAGGGGCCGCGTAATGGTGTAGTAGCTCCCGAGAGCCAAGTACCTTGCCCACCAGTTCAGGGATTTACGAATTCTAACTGTCTGAACTCGCCACGGTACATCACGAGATTCATGCCAGATATCAGGCCCGATGCCTGCGATCTAATTAACTATTCATTGATGCCTACCTGTGCAGGTCAATTCTGTTGAGCAGGGGCACACCATCGGACCGAATGCCATGACGAGCAGGCCCAACAGCATCCAGAAATCCCCAAGAAGCTGGAAGAAGATGTGGTACATCCCCCATGTCATCGGACAGTACAGTAGTGGTAACACGACCACAAACATTCCTGGGTGATGCCGCTTGCTACTGCTTTGATATCGCAGGCTCAAGAACAAAGGTCTGCATGTTCTACTGTCGCCACTCAGGTGACGAGCAATTGCAAAACCGCATCATGTGTCTGCCATTCACATCGCCACGGAACCTGGAATTGTGGACTGAGGTGCAGTCACCTTCACCTTCAGGATAGTGGGAAAGTGACTTGCTATGCTGGGACGGTCGCCAGCCTTTAGTGCTCCTCGCAAGAGTGCAGGTGCGAGTGCCAGTGCAGCAGGCATGATGGTGTTGAAGCCACGAAGCCTCGCGAGCTGGCTATGGAATGGACTGGCGGGCAAAAGCAGTCAGTGACACTGCATGGGCAGGCCGTAGCAGCATAGCATGCGGCATGCCTACTGTGGCTGGGGGCTGCAGGCCTCTTGTCGCTTTGCCGAACAACTCACGACCTGGCCAAGGAGCCCGTTCACGAAGCCCATGCCCAGGGACACGCTTTGCTTCATCCTTTGAGCAATAGGCCCAGCGGAAGCTGCCACTTGGAGTGCATTTTCCTTGTCGGCCCGATCGGATATTGGATAGAGTAAGCACAAAACATTCGCTTTCAAAGAGTCCTTACTGCTCAAACCTGGTGTCGAAACCGAGCTCAATGGTGCCCTTGAGGTTTGGCATCACCGTTGTCCGGCACAGTTCGGTGCTCTGCTCGATCGCCTGCTTGTGGAACCGATCTGGCTGCTTCAAGTAATCCTCAACCTTGTCACAGGTTGAATGGATCGGCCTCGCAAACGAGAGAACCCTTGTCAAACTGTGAAGGTTGGGTCTCTCTTGCGCGCCTGAAGTCGAAGTCCACGAGCTTGATGAAGGAGCAGCACTTCAGGTGTCGATTGGGGGTCATCCGCAGCGTGGAGCAAGTCTTTATTGCGAAGCTCTCGGCGTTCTCCACCGTCCCTTGCGCTTCCATATGTATTAGCTGCAAACAAGCCTGATTGACGGTGGATGCCAGGTCTTCGGTGTGGTTGCCTTCGCCGCGAGCAGGAGCTTTGCTAGCAAAAGCCACGCGAATCTGGTGCCTAGCAGAAACTGGCCTAGGTGCCTGTGTACATGCATTTACAGCCAAGTATCCCATGTGCTGCGACATCTCGGAGGCGAAGGTGTGCACCACAGGGTCCAGGACTGTCCAGTCCACAAACAGGCGCGTAGGAATCACAGTTGCCTGGAGCACATTTTGCTACGACGTGTCCTTTCCGGCCATGTATGCCCCACTAGTTCACCACACTAGCGGTAGCAACAGGTGGTCTTAGGGAGCTTTGGTTCATCTGCCCGAGCGAAGGCATGCCTAGGTAGAGCTCAGAACAAAAGAATTCCAAATCTGTCCCAGAAACCAAGAAGGGCGCAACCAGGCTGAACGCCCAGCCGGTAAGCACCCCTCTGTGTGACCGATTGAAATGTGACCTGGGAGCCGGTGGCACGAGATTGTGAGCGCAAGGCGCTGGCCTTCCCGGTTGAGCCGACTTATTCTAAATCCACCAAAACCCACGAACTAAATCAGCGTTGATGCAGAAACGCAGGTTGACAGGGTTACATGCAAAGTTGTGCAGAGTTGCTCCTTGTATGGACATCTTGGTACCCATCCTACACCCGCATGTACGGGGCGCAAGAGCAGGAGGTCTTGTCCGGAATGCTCGTCAGGGTTGAACTTCTAGTGTCGGGCCTCGTCCTCCAAATCCTGAGCCCAAACCTTAAACTCTGTGCTGGCCAGCGCACCACTTTCTCAGCGACCACCAGAGCAAGTAGCAGCCTTTACATGTACTGCGTGTGTCACGGGACCATTGGGAAAGCAAACTGTACATATTAAACGACTTATCAGGGCGCATGAAGCAAACCTTTGCAACTAGTTGTGCTCGAAGCAGACATCAACACTGATGCATTGAATTCGCCAAGAGGCTTATCCCCTGACATGCAACTTCCAACACCGCCTGCAGTATGTCCATCATTGCCGTTTGGCTGATGATCTTAGCAAACCTTGGAGTCTCAACGTGTCGCACACCCATTTGCTTCTGCGCAAACACGAACAAGGCTGAAGCAAGCCTGGAAACATTCCGGTGTAGAGGTGCTTGCTATAAGCAAACCATGCCTCTGGGTCTTTCGTGTTCCACGTCTTGTTGGTCATCAGCACAAACTGAGGGAAGCGAACCACGTCGCCATCAATTTCGATCCCTTGAGTGCAAGTGTGGGGTGCCAAACCAAAAAACGGAGTACAAACACATTGCTTTTGTCCCAGAGTCGGCTTTTGTGGATCCATTGCTGTCTTGTCATCATGGCAGCAGGAACGTCGGCGACTTCGATGAAGAAGGCCAGCACGCAAAACACTACCGAGACGAACATCATGCTACGACGCACAGTCAAGAAGTTAATGACGGCATCATTAAAGACCTTGCGCTGTGTTGCAAGGAACGCCTTCTCAGTGGAGGAGTAGACATTCTTGTCCCCAGAAGCTGTCTCCATGGACCGCAGAAAGTGGAGTGGCAAAAGCATTGCGTAATTCAGGAGCATTCTCCAGTCCTGTCTCGCGTGTTTTTAGTAGAACTTCGAACGGTTTTGCAGCAAATAAGGAACAAGTGAAGTTCGGCAAGGCTTGTGCTCGAGCTTGCTCCGTTTTTGATGCTGCCCGTGACAGCCGTAAATACCTCTTGTTGGCTCTCTGCTTCTGCGTGCGGACAGTCCTCTGTCTTCGGTCAGTTCGACGCGTTTTGTCTTGGCTGCTAGCTTTGGCGGGGTCTTGTTCCATTGGCTTTGCTGCTTCCGATCGATGTACTCGTGCCAGGGGCTGTGCTCCCTGCAGCCTGCAACGCATTGAGGGCTCGTGCGAGCAGGGGTGCAGCTGAACACCGCGCACGTAACGAGCATCTTCTGATGTTTACGAGACAGTCGCTGCCTTGCGATGCTCTGTGACTCTGTGTGGTGCTGCTAGCTCATCAGATCTTGCACAAGGACTCTTATCCAAACAAGGATGGAACGCAAAGCTAGCACAAAACTGCAACATGTAAAATCACACTATCAGAGCTTGGCATGCGCAATCTCACACAAACAGGCCGAACAGGATTTACTCCTTCTTCCGCTTCCAAGCAATGCTGCTGATCGTGATCGGTTCATAGAAACTCCCTGTCTGTATAGACGTGCAGCAGCCGTATGTCAGCACGGAGCTAATCCACAATACCAGGACGCCGCCGAGAAGCCAAAGGGCCTCGGCTCTCGGAAGTTGGAAGCTCCACTCTTGACTTGGCAATCCGAAAACTTCAACAAAGGCGAGGTCGCTCTACGTCTCCTCATGGAATCATTAGGCATCCTCGCCCAGGTGCAGATCTGCTGGAGATATTCATTTCCCAAGCCAGCCACTCTGGCCAGCCGCTGTCATGTGGAGGGTCGGACATTTCACATGCAGGGGAAGGGCAGATAAGTTCACGCGGCTTGAGGAGCCACAAACGGACGGTCCATGGCGACGATGCTGACAAGATCTGCTGAGATCTGCGAGATCGGGTGACTGTTGGGAAACCAGTGGTGGCTAGTTAGATCCTTGCTGTTGTTGAGGATATCGGCCACGCCAACCTTCGGTAAGTTTTCACACAATGTGTTGCATACGCTCCCAGCGAGCCTTACCATTGCTTAATCCGAGCAGAACAAGGTAGGCTGAAAGGGAAACAAACGCAGGACTTCTGCGGTGCCATGTGGATGCAGCATTTCGTTGATGAGCGGGCCTTCGTAGATCCCATGCTGTTGGGTGGTGTAGGTTCCTGTTCATCTGCGCAGCAGACGACTGATCAACATACACCAAGTCTGCAGTCTTTGCTCCCTGAACCTCGTAAGCTGTCCAGACCTGTGCAAGTCGCTCTGGCTGACGTTCTCATGCCTCCGCTCGCGGGCCAGACGGTGAGGAAGAGCCTGCAGCAACATGCGCATCCGGCCAGACCCTGGAAAATATGGAAGGCAATGGCTGTAGCGCATACGACAATTTTGCACAGGTACAGTATGGTACGATTCTGTACTCCAGACGGAAAGCTCGGAGCTGGCCTTTCAGGCATGATCTCAAGGGCTGAGGCGAAGCTTCCGCCGACAAAAGCACCTCATGGTGACAGGTTCTGCGCAAGCTTTCAGGCCAAAGTGCTGCAAGTGTTTTTGGCCTGTGGCTCCTTGTTGGAGAAAGGTTGCACCTGTACGCAAGGCATGAGAGTCCGGCATTTTTCAGATCTGCATTGCAGGACCGTGTCTGCTCCAATCAGGGCCTCGTTTGATTGGTCCTCAACCGGCGTATGCCTGTCGGAAGCATCTACCAGCTCCAGCATTCAGAAGTTGGCCGGCGCTGGCTTCTTAATATCGCACGGCTGCGGATCAAGATGTCAGATTGCCTGCTGGAGTCCTCTCCAGATACGGTTCGCCGCACTCGAGGACCACGATCCTGTTTCAAACAGCAGTTCAGGATAGTTCAGGTCTGTACAGGTGTGAAAGGCTGCTCGATTTGCATGCAGCCTCCGGTGGTCGGCCAGGAGGTGGCGTGACGGCAATAACTCGCTCAGACCTCAGATGTCGCAACGCCAGCATGGATCTGTCTGTGGACTGTCTGGTCGCTGCAGCGCGTGTAGGAAGCGCTTACTTGCTGGGAACTCGCGCTCATCGTTGCATGGTGCCTCGAAGCTGAGTTTGTCAGCCGGCGGGCCTTGAGTCGGAGATCGGCACGGAACTGCAATCGCTCTTGAGCACGCGGCTCATGCTCCTGCCTGTAACGGTGGTCTTGGGAGGTTCTTCGGCGGAAGCTCGTGGCTCGAACGGGTCAGCGGCTGCTGCCCCTGCTATGTCAAGGACAAGGGGCGTCAAGTAATCATTCCAATGAACTTCCTCAACTATACTCACATCTCTAAACAAGATATGCGACTGCAAAAGCAGCTTTCTGAAGCCTCTGGAGCTTGCAGTTGGCACGAAGAAGTCCTCGAGCGGATCCTCGCGCGACCGCAGGGTGTTCAGTAGTTATGGCCTCTCAGTTCGTCCTCGAAAGTAGACGGCGCTGCCCGGGCTCGGCCCGGCCGTGGCATGCGCCTGGACGCCCAACCGCCAAGCGCTCCAGCTTCAGACTTCGCAAGGACGACCGCTGACTATCAACTCGCACCTGCATGCACCTGCAACTAGCACTTTTCCTGTGCACCTGCAATGACACATGGGCACTTCGGCTCAAGGAACTCAACAGTTATCGCACTTCCGGCCCCTTTTCGCGTGCAAGCTTAATCATATCACGCTTTGTTGGAGCACAGCTGTCTAAGAGGCTGTGCGCGATGCGATGAGGTCACATCATGGTCACACCAACATGGTACGAGCAAAACATCATGGTAACCAAGCCATTCTCCCGGTGACGCTCGATTTAAGAAGCACCCGCTCAAGACGCAAGTCGGTGGAATCATAACACATCAGAACCACCCATTATTCCCTATGTAGACACTCGATTTCGAAAGCACACGCCAGACAAACATCAGTGGCATCACAGCACAACCAAACCAACCATTCCTCATGTAAACGCTCGACTTGAGAAGCACCTTCTCAAGAGACACGTCAGTGAACGCCGATCAAGGTGACCGAGACCGGGTGCTTCCCCTCTTTTGGGGTGGCGGGACCCCCCGGGTGCTTCCCGCCCTTGTGGGGTGGGATCCAAAAAAGCTGATGCGACTTAGCTTTGTCTCTGTACCCTGCATGGGCTCGTTGCCTTACTTCCCGCCTCTGCGCAGCCGGAGGTCGAAACCCAACGCTTGGGCAATGGAGAGCTTTGGCAGGGCAGGAGAAGCATCTGCGTTCATTGTTGAAGCCGGTCTTGCTCGCATAACTGGCATAACTTAACACTCAAAAGCACGGCGAGACTCCTGAATAATTGCATGGGCGATCTTGGGTCAGGTCCGTCTTGAATCGGCGTGAATGGCTTCGAGTGTGCAGGAAAGTCACGCGGTCCATTTTGCTCCATTGCAGCTCTCCTGTTCTGCAGCACCTTCACAGGATGCACCGTTTCCACACGAACGCATCTCCGCTTGCGCGGCAAATTCTAGTTCTGACAGTCTGAAGCTTGCATCCATTGCGGGCCTTTGGCCGGAACGGCAGAGCCCAATCGCATCCAGCGGACATGTAGAGTATGCCTCAGTTGTAAACTCTTTAAGCGCGACTCCGAAAGCGTCACGGAGAGGGGGCAGAATATGAAAGAATGGCACAATCGAAAACCATCGCCGGCGGGCGAGTATGAGCAAGTCGCGCAAAACAGCTCAGCTGGGCTTCAGTGTTTTGGGCCCAGGAGCGGTATGCATGCATCAGGTCAGTAAGATTCTTGTAACCATGATAGCCTCCCAGCACAGGCGAACGAGCTTTTCTTGCGGTCAGGCCCAGCGTGTAACCCTATGAATGCTTGCCTATCGCAAACGGCGAAAGCCAATAGTCCGCCACCGGAGTAACCTGTGCAGATGTCAGCAAGCTTTCGAAGGGCGGTCACCTGCACCCCCGACGCCTCCGAAGGCTGACACGGCACCCAACGGTGTATCTCAGGAGCAAAGCCGTAGTGTTCGCAGAGAGCGCGTGCTACGTTCCTGGGTCTGTGGGGAGCTTGAATCACGCAAGAGGTGACATGGCGTGCAAAACCACTAGACATGAGCCAGAGCGTGGTGCCAAGCAAACTCCAGGGGAACGCAGGGAAGGAACCGTACGGAACCGGAAGAGCAATAGTGCCACATGTCGCGACATGCTACATCGGACGCTCCGGCTCCCTGCTTGAGTCCAGGCGCTCCAAGCTGTCCGGGGCTAGGCTGGGCCCTGGCAAAGGAGGCAAACTGCGTTTGGCCAGGTGCTCTTGGCCTCAGTATGGAGTTGTCAAGAGTCAAGATCTGTCAATTTTTGGGACATGCTATCGAGCATCTGGCAGAGTAGCATCCTCATGGTTACAAACCCCGTGTGACCCTGGAGTTTTCTCTACTCGAATGACTACTGCTGCAGTACTGAAGTTGCGGCTTGTTGGTGATGGCTTTGGGGACGGGGTGCGTTCATGCTTTTGTAGGCGTGCCTGTCTTCGTGAATGTCGGGCATGACTTGTCTAGCTTGAATGACATCGCAGACTTCTCGCAGCCGGCCATCGCGCGTCATGCTTTGCTTCACTCAGCTCACCACATGGCAGCGTCTCCGAGGTAAAGTAATTGCGCCCAAGCTCGTCCTTCAAGACACAGTTGTCCATGGTTGAGTTTGGCAGCAAGTGGGTGGCACGCACAACTTCAGCGTACAAGTGTCAATCAATCGTCAGGGCAGAAGTCGCCAGCCAAACCTCGACCGCGGGATGCACCGTGACATTGGATGCGACGAAGCATCGCCCAAGCATAATGTCCCACCTTAGAAGAGTCTGGACAATCTGCAGGAGATCCTTGTGCCGTCTTCCGCTTTTGCTGAGCGAGGTGCCAATGACCAGCAACGAAGCCACCTGAGCCAAGCTCGGAAGGCCCGATGCGGCTAATCTCTAATCTCTTATACACCGTCTTCGAACCTGCAACCATGTTCGGATCCAAAGCTAAGTTACACCAAAACTTCGTCGTAGCATGATAGTTCCCACTTTCTAACCGCTTTCAGGTCTCAGCTTTGGCCAGGTGGCAGCCGTTCACCCGGCGTGCGAGCTCGGGGTGGCGCACAGCTGGCACCCAGAAGCCAACCTGCAGTTCAAGTGACGACTCCATCAGCTCGTGTACGCGTCCGCCGCATGGCATCTCTTTGTGCCAAGTTGAGGCAGGATGCTCGCTTTGGATGAGGGTATGTGAGGGCGTCTTTCTCCAACCTGTGCAGAATGCGGGTCAACGCTTTCCACTCTCAGGTGGAGCTCCAAGGCATGAGATCCATTAGCACATGGTGCGCAGAACAAAGCCTAAGCCTTTGGCTGCGACTTATTGCAGCCCGAGCTGCAACTCCAGATGCTGTGCGAGTCTTCGCAAAGCTTCTCTCGTCATGCACACCCCGCCGGCAGTGTTTGGGAAAATCCCAACCTGCAGCTTCATGCCTCGGTCACTTCACTTCGGGGGATTTCCAAGCTAGTGGGCACTGATTGGAGTGGCATTGTGTGCCGAACAGAGGAGACTGGAGACCAGTGCTGCCAAGCAGGCCCAAATGCAGTGACGCCACGTAGTGCGGGTCCTTTGAAGATCTCAGCTTCTCTTTTTGGAACCTATCCTTCCCAACGAATGACACCCGTCAATCCTTCATTAAACCCAAGGGATGGGGATCCAGGACCACACCAACCTCTGGTTGCAACCAGGTGCCTGGGTGAGCAGCGTGTTTGCTCGCGCGAAGGCCCGAAGGTTCTCAGCTGAAAATGCCTGAGGGTAGTCTCGGCTCGAGTCCCTGGAATGGCTCACTACTACCTTGCTCCGTGGACGTGCAAGCGCCTGCGCAAACAGAAAGACAACGGAAAAGGGGAGAGGTCAAGTCTTGCAACTAAGTCGCACTGTCAAGCTCGAGCCTGGCAGTGAAGGGATGCCGCGAAATAAGGAAAACAAGAATCTGGCAGCTGAAGGCAATGCAGCGCGGCATAGTGCGGTGTCTTCTTACGTCTTCGGATCTCATGTCCCAACGTTCCTAGGACCAGGCTGCCAGCCCCTGTTCAACATCAACATTTTCCATTCATGAGCGAGCACAGTCCACGATGCAGAAAGAATATGCAGCCCAGGAACAAGCAGAAAAGATCAGCGCGATCTAGACTGCGCCGAGCTGTGTAGACAGCCATGAGTAAGCTTTTCTGGATTGTGTTGCCTGAGCCCAGCAACTTCACACACAACACACAACTGTTGGCTTCTCAGCTCCCATAACAGGCACGACACACAAACCAAACTACACCCAAAAGTCACCAACGAACCGCTGTTCTGCAAAGCCAAGAAATGGCTTTCACAGACTTCCGTAGCTTCTTCCTCTGTGAATTTAAAAACCCAGCTGTTCCGAGGTAATGAAGGCCTTTTCCTAGCAACAAGCTCAGGAAAAAGGTACACACAAGCTCTGATCTGTTCTCCAACTGGTATCTTGGTGTCCAGAGCACAGTCGTTCGAATCATGTCTGGTCCTAGGCCAGTTCATCAATTCACACCGGAGTCAAGCTCAACAGGGTGTTCCTTCATACCCTGGGGGTGGGGGGGTGGGGGACCCCTCGAGGGTGGGCCGGAAATAGGTCTGGACCGAGCCTTGGGGGGGGGGGGGTTTAGGGTTCCGGGGTTCGGTTCACGTTTGCATCGCAAAATAGGTCCCGAGGCATGGCTTGCTGGAAGAGTTCCTGCGGCAGGCCCCATAGAACAGTTCCTAGAGGTCCTTTCTCAAGACTCATTTCTAAGTATAAATCGCAGTGCGGAGCGGGGGGAGGGCCGGGGGGAGGAGGGGGGGGGAAATAGGTCCCCAGCCATGGCCTCGTGCAAGGGTTGTTCCACGGAACAGTCCCCCAAAGCCCTCCAGCGGGACTCAATACCCGTTTAGAGGCTGTATACCACCATTCCCCGAAGAGGTCCACGTCAAGAAGGACCCGGGTGCCGCTCCGTCGAGTGCTGCGAAGGCGCACTTCGCTTTGTGTGTAACGTAGCTGCTCTACTGCCTGCACGTAGCACTGCGGCGGCTCGCAAAATAGGTCCTGAGGCATGGCTTGCTGGAAGGGTCCCCGTGAAAGGCGCCATAGAACAGTCCCCGAATACCCTTTTTAAGACTCATATTTCAGTATAAATCGCAAGGGGGGGGAAATAGGTCCCCAGCCATGATCTCGTGCCAGGGTTCCTATGGGATGTCCCACGGAACAGTCCCCCAAAGCCCTCCAGCGGGACTCAATACCCGCAGCAGATACTGTACGGACCACATACCGACTCGGAGATACCGCCACATCAAGAAGGAGCCGGGTGCATCATGTCTACCGGCTACCTACAAAGGGCGGCGATGACGGCAACCACCAAGAAGCGCCACAAGACTAACAATACCAGTGATGTACACTCACCCTTACTAATTCAACATCCATACTACTAATTACTATAATAGGTCCCGGCCATTCAAAACAATAGGTCCAGACCTATTTCGGCCCCCACCCCCCACTGTGACAGAAATCGGTCCCAAAATAGGTCGGACCCCCTGTGACCTCCTGCCCCTTAGACCTATTTATAGGGGGGGAGGGTTTCCTTCATGTTGCTTATCCGTGGCTATGGCTTCACTAGGCATTTCGCACGGTACTGTAGCGGACGGAATAAGTCAAAGCCGTTGATCGAAGGCCGGCTCGACTCTGGACTGCCAGATGGTTGCAGCGATGCAGGCCGCAACCGCAACTCACATTTTAAATTTTTGTCTGCAGCCAAATTGCCCGACCACAAGCCTCTGGTCATAGAAGTCATGTTGGACAACAGCATGCGTTCCATGATGTGTCAGGCGGCAGTAGCAAGTGCTCAGTCACTACTCGTCCCTCGCCCCTTCCCTGGAACAGCCGAGTATCGCTTGCGGAAAGTATCAGAGCCGGGAGCAGCAGGTACTGGGATGCCTGACGAGAGATCAAGCTCAACGGCTCGAGTGATCAGGTTACAGGTTCTGATGACACCGACCGAGGCCTGACAGTGGCCGCCAAACACCGGGAGATTGGTGTCAGATTTGCACTTTGGACTTAATTCGGCTGTCGAGGAACCAAGTGTAAAAGGCATTTTTTAGCTATCCTGCCTTCATCGACCCATTGCATTTTCATCCAGCTCCTCAGTCTGCCGTTGCTGAACAATGACAAGGCTACTGTGCGAACGGGAGTGAGGGGGGCGAGGAGTGAAGGGAGTGAGAAGAGCGGTGAGAGTGAGGATGAGAGTGAGAGTGAAAGTGAGGGTGAAGGTGCAGAGCAGGATCATCTCCGAGCGATGCAATGCAGGTCTGAGTGTGCGAATTTGCCCGAGTCCGTTGACACCCGTCCGTGTCTACACTCGCTGTGCCCCAGTCGAGGCTTGTGGCCTGCCGAGTGTCTTATCTGCTTGTGCTTCAGGAAAAGCCCGTGCCAAGTTCACCTCGAAAGGTCAAGGATAAGTTTTTCGGATTGATGTGCGCAAACGAACCCAGAGTGCCCATTGCGTTCTTGCACGTGGACCAAGTCTAGCGAAATTAGCACTACTGATTGGAAGGTGCGGAAGTGCTGTGCCTTCTCCAAATGATGCAGGACGTCACACCGCCAGTCTGGCTGAGGAAGTATCTGCAAGGCATCCCGCCGTTCGCAAACCTGAACATTCACCCCAACACCCAGACCCCGTCTGTGAGCCTCATCCTCTTGAGCGCCTCGATCACGAAATCGTTGCATGCTCACGAACATCTGCGGACAACATTGGCTCAGTCCCTGATCGGGCCACAATCCCAAGAGGACCAGATCACATCAAGCAATGACAACACGACCCGGCCGAAATCTACACAAAACAGAGCCCCTGCTGATTAAATCTTATCTGTTTAGCCAGTTGAGCTGGTGTCACGATTTCAAACTCGCGCCGTCCAACGCTGATGCGCCAGGAACTGCGTCCCTCCTGCATCACCAATGCAACCGAAACCATCTGAAATCTTTGCATTTTCAACAACTTGCCGGCACTACTGCAAGAAGCTGCCTCGTCCCTCCTGGGCGTGGCGAAAAACGAGGCCCAATCGCAGTGCCGAGCAAAGGTGCGAGCCATCCCTGGGACTTTGACGTGCTCAGATCGGGAAATAGGTGAATCACAACAGTAAGGTAGCTTCCTGCTAAACTTCTTGATGAAATCAACATGAAGTAGCCGCTTGCATTCTGTCGGAAGTGGGGCGAAAACACTTAAATTCAGCTCGTGCAGTGTGTTACCTACTGCTGTCTGCCGTCGTTTCGGCCAAGTCGCTTCTGATGGGCGCGTTGTCATTCGGCAGCGCCGCCAAATACCTAGGTGGCATGTTGAGTTGACATTTCAACTAAACTGAGTTGGACTGAATCATCACTGTTCGCACCCATCTTGCAAGCGTACATTGGCGTACATGCTTCCGGCAGGATAGACAAGAGCATTGCCTCATGCTTGAAGAGCTGCAAACATGCCACGCGCTGGGCAACACCTTCTTGCACTTGCTCCGCAGATGCCTCACAGGAATGAGGCCAAAACAGGGCTTTTGCAAGCGTCGTTGGTTGGCTAGCTGTGCATGCCCGCCTGATACTTTGCATCTGCGGCATCTCGGTTGCAAGTCAACTCTCCGCCAGCCCAGGACAGCGGGTTTGGCAGGAATTTCCGTCCTGAATCAAAGTTTATGTCTCATCCCCAGACTGAACTTAGTGACGAGTGAGAGAGGCAGCATCATCCAAGCATCTAGAGTTCAGGATCTGAGAAGCCTTCGCCCTTGGATCGAAGGCGACCGTTTCTGGGCTGAACACGTGTCACTTGTGTTGCCTCACAGTCGCACCGTCTGCGCAATGGATTATGCTGTTCATGGATTCAGTGAGCTACCGCGCAGCTAGCGTTACGATGATGCATCACTTACTTTCCTTGCCCTCATCAGTTTCGCAGACCCAAAAGTGTGCTTTTCAGCCTCTACGCCTCTACGCAAGCAAATCAACTGATTCAAACGCTTGAATGCAGGCATTCGGAGGCCTGAAGCATAGGCTGCATGAGCTGCACGAACCTTCATTCCAATACTACTTCCATAGATCTTGTCATTGCCCTACCGACACCCTGGGCCTTGCAAACGAAAGCACATCCCAAACAGGTTTTCCTTCTCGCATGGCCAGGATCAATGCCCACAATCGAAGTTCCATAGGTTTGAAATTCGGAAGCAACATTCCCAGATAGTCTGGGAGCTGAGGGTGAAGCCGTTCGGGCCCAAAGTCTCGGGTTCCCTATCGTTCTCCTATAGCTGTATCCCTTGACACGATGTCTCTGACGAGCGATGCGGATCTTCAGGAGTAGCAACGGCAGGGCTTGGGGATGTTTCGGGTCAAGCAAGCATTTCAAAATCGACTCTTCGTCTGAAGTCACTTTTCTCCTTGGGAGGTCCATGGAATATGGAAGTGCTGCGGACACGTGCCGGACCCACGGAGCGAAAACCAGGACAAACCCCGGATCAACTCGCTTCACACACGAACACGCCAACTTGATGGCTTGAAATTCTCCTTATTGCTTGGTTCGACCGAGAAGCTCTCTCTTTCTTTCGCCAGGGCTTCGGACAAGGGGATTGCTGAGCTTCTCTCTCTCTCTCTCATTTTCTCTTTGCTTTTGCTTTGCTTGGGGCAAGAGCCGAAGGCAGTCCCCTCTCTCTCAGTCTCTTTCTCTCGCTCTTTCGCTCTCTCGCTCACTTGCTTGCTTGCTCTCTCTCTCTCTCTGGCTCGCTTGCTTGCTTGCTCTCTCTCTCGCTCGCTCTCTCTCGCTTTCCTTTCACCAGGGCTACGGCCGAGGGTTGCCCCTCGACCGCGCGCATCAAGCGCCCCCGCTCGCTCTCGCTCTCGCTTTCCAGGGCTGTGGGCCAAGGGTTTCCCCCTAGCCCGCGCGCAGGTGCGCCCCCGACCGTTGTGGTGGGGCTTGGAGAGGAAAGCAGACTCCACAAGGCCACTGTGTGTAGGGGGCATCAGTACAAGTGGGACCAAACGACAAGTTAAGTAAGATGCCAAAGGAAAAGTATGACAGTATGAAATAGCAACGGGTGGTATGTCCCCCGACAGTGATTGAAAAGGTGGAGTTCTGTAGTGAAGGCATCGATTTAGTGGAAAGGCTGAACGTTAAAGCAATCCGTTTAAGGACAGGAGCCCCTAAGAAACACCAACATAATCCCTGTCGACATCTCGAAGCACAACCCCGACAACGTCAAGTGAACCTGAACGGAATGCATGGGGGAAGCTCAAAGGGGGTCCCCCTGTACTCAAAGGTTCCACAAACAACTAGTTACAAAAGTAGGTAGGTTCCCCATGGAAAAAGGTGTGCTAGTCCAATTATGAAGGAAGTATGGTACAAGTTCCACTGGGCTGGGGGTGATGGCTTCCCCCGTCATCTGGGATGCTCTGGGCTGGCACGACCCTTCCGGAATGGAGCTGCTCGCTCTTGCTTGCTTGCTTGCTTGGGGTATGGGTCCCCTGGGGGAACCCTGGCCCGAAGGCCTACCCCCTAGGCGCGCGAATGTCTGTCGGCACGGCCCCTTGCGGGGTTGAGTGTACATCGTGTTCCCCTGACTGTGCCTTTGTCGACCCCCCGAACAGACACCTCTCTCTTCTTCCACACAGACAAGAGTAGGCAGGCGGACCCCACCTACCCTGCGCGCGCACGCGCCCTGGTCTCCAAGGTCTTCGGTTCTACAGCTTTGACAGATGTGGCCCCCTTCTTCGCAACTGTTAAACCCCCCAATCCTTGAACACTAAGTTAACCTCCAGGCCTCATCTGTCAGGCGGGCACCGGCTCTGGTAGCTGTGAGCTCGCACTTTATCGCTGGCTTGCTACCGTATGCTGTGTGTCCCCACTTTGTTAAGCAGGCACACTGTCAAAAGCAGTTGCAAACAAAAGCTGGGCTCCCGACCAAACTGGACTGCTGCACACAACACTACGAAGCACATGAACTCATGCCCCCAACCGGTGATGACCCCCAACCTAGTTCAAGCCGGCTGCCAGCATACGCCTACGGCGGTGTTCGCCGGGTTCTGGGAAGCGGTCCCCCTCACTATCCACTTCTGTCTCTGCTGGCCGTGGTTCGTCTTCTCGTCTGGCTGTCTGCAGCATTTCCTCTGCTGCCTGTCTCTCAAACTCTTCCAGGGCTTGTACCAGGTCCTCGTCGGTGGGCCCAAGGGGGGAATCCAACGGGCTGCGCCTGACGGGTCCCCCGTAGGGTCCCCCGGCCCCTGCCCTGCCGCGCCAGTCGGGTCCCCCGTAGGGTCCCCCGGCCTCGGGTCTTCCCCCCCTTCTGTCGTCTGGGTGTCCACTGTGATGTCCCCTGTCTGGTGGTGTGCTTGCCTCCAGACCAGTACTGCCGCCAAAAATTGGCGGATCTCCTCACGCCCCTCTGTGACAAAGTGGGCGATTGCCCCCACGTTTCGCAGCAGCATGTCCATGACTTCTTGTGCCCCTCCGGTTGGCTGGGCTGGGGCTTCCTCTGCTCCTTCTTCGAGGGCTACCACATCGGCAGGGTGCACAAAGTCGAGCTGCCCTTCTTCCTCGAGCAACTCTTCAGCTTCCTGCAGCACCAGGGCGATCACCTGCCCCCAACTAGGTGCGACCCAGTCCACGTCGCCTTGTACAGTGTCCTCCAGTGCTTTGCGCACCTCTGTACGGGCTTGTTCGAGGCCGTGGAGGCCCTCCTGCACCTGGTCCCCCCACTGCTTAGCAGTGAGTTGGCTGAACATGTATGCCCCCCTGTCCAAATCCCCCAGAGCTGTCTCCAGGTCAGCACGTATCTGGTGCTGATTGTAGCCATCCACTCCATCATCATCTGCGAGGTCTTGTAAACGCATCCTCGCCACTGAGATCATGTTCAGGATGCGCCTTTTCTTGCATGGGCTCGGGCCACCGACTGTACCATTGTCCCCCTGCTCGGTGTCGGTGTTTCTCCCCACCGCTGCAAAGGCTTGCTCTAGCAGCAAGGGTATGTGGCTCCCCATTGGGTGGTCTCGAAGTAGTGCTGCAAATTCTCTGAGCCACCTGCGTATCATGGCTGCCGCGTTGCTCATCCTGGCCTCGTAGGGGGTGTCCAGGACGCGAGGGCCATGGCTGGAAGAGGAGGCTCTATTAGCTATGTGGGCTCTACGTTGCATGAACTGCACCTGCTCCGAGTTCGATCCCCCCTAGCTGCTGCGTCTGGTCCGCATCGTTCGAAGATCTCTGCGGGGTAGGCGTCGGCGTCGGACTCGTCGTACTGCTGGCTCCCGGCCAAGTGCTTGGTTGGCCATCGTCGCTGCCTCTCGGAGGTGTCGTCGTGTCCCCTGACCCTTGGCTGGCTTCCCCGAAGTACGGGTTCTGTGGCGGCCAGCGGGCCCGGTTGGGCGGCGGGATGAGTCTTGCCCCCATCTCTTCCCACTGTGACGGTGGGAGCGTGTAACTGCGAGGGAGCCTTTCGTAGATTGCACCAGTGCCCTGCATATGCCCCCAATCATAGTAATATTGGAGAGCGATCTTCGGGGGGAGGCTCCCCACCCCCCCATGCTGTGGGGATCTCTGGTGGGAAGGTGATGGGCCTGGGGGCTCCTCCTGCTGAGAGGATCATTGTGCTGAAGTGGCCATCCCACCTCAGCGGTTCTTCGTCTTCATCCTCGGGCTGCTGCTGTGTGCTGCTGCCGGCTGGCTGTCTTCTCCTCCTGGGGTCGCCTGGCTGCCCCCCCGCTGCTGTGTGTTGCGTGTGCTGCGGGAGTGGTTGCTGTAGCTCCTCTGGGCTGACAGAGCCTCTGGGCCTGGCATGGAGGTTGAGGACTGCTGCCCAGTGCGGTTGTGCCCCCTGGCCTCCGACGGGCGGCTGTGGTTGCTGGCCCCCCTGTCTGCGGTCGGGTCTGGTCCCCCTCTCTCCCGGTGCTGGCCCCTGAGCGAGTATCTTTGCCCACGTCTCTTCTTCGTCGTCTTCAGACATGCCGACCAAATGGGCTACCCCCTTCCACGTCTCTTCTTCATCTTTGACCCATCCGCGCTGTGCGAAAGCCGCCTGGACTGCAGACTTAAAGCGTTTGCTTCGCATCCTTTGATCGCCCCGTCCTTCGTGATACGGGCGTGGCTGGCTGGGTCCCCCCTTGGGCCCCCGCTGCTGCTTGGTGCCTCTTCAAGTTCTGCTTCTGGTGGTGGTGGCTGGTGTTCCCCCTGTGGTGGGGTCCCTGCGTTGTCCTGGCTGGGCTGCGTCACTGCTTCGGGTGCGGTTGCTGTTTCCGGTGTTCCCCCGGGCTGCTGAGGGTGCCTGTGCTGGTGTGACGTGGGGTCTGTCTGGGCAGGGCTCTGGCTGTTGGGTGGATGTTGTTGGGGGAGGTGCGTGGCGGGCTCCCCTGCTGCGTTGTATTGTTGTGTGTCCCCTGCTGCTGGGGCCTGTTGTGCTTGCTGTGGCATCGTTGCCGTGGTTGCTTCCGGGGGGCCGCCAGTGGGAGGGGGGTGCCACTGCTCTGGTATTCCTGTTTGCTCCGCCTCGGAGCTTTGCTGGTTTGTCGGCTGCTGCGGGAGAGGCTGCAGCGTGCGTCCCCACCGGTTTCGGTAGGGATGTGGTGCCTGTATTTGTGCGTCCTGCTGCGGTACCCATGCGTCGTGTGGTTGGTCGGTGGCTTCGGCTGTCACGCTGCTGTGGCTCGTCGTGGGCTGGGCGGCAGGTCCTTGGGGCTGCCCTGCTGCCTCCGCTTCGGCTGTATGCTGTGTGGGTGCGTGGGTGGCCGTCACGCTGAGCTGCGGTAGTGGGGCGGCGTGGTCAGCCGTGACCTGCTGTGGCGCTGCTGCGTGCTGTGGTAGCTGGGCGGCGTGGTCAGTCGGGATTGCTGCCCTTGCTGTGGCACTGCTGCGTGCTGCGGTGGTTGCTGAACTGTCGGGCATTGTCCGTCTGGTTGCTGGGGTGGGTGGTACGTGAGCGTGTAGCCCCAGCGGTTCGCCTGCGGTGGCACTGCATAGACCACTGGGCCTGGGAGGGCTGTTCCCCCTTGTGGTTGGGGCCAAGGTGCTTGTGGCTGCACGGGCTGCTGCGGAGCGGCGTGG